TTAACACTTAAAATCTGTTCAACAAACATTTAGGTGTTTATTGTAACTGCCTGTGTTTTGTTACAGCTTAAAAATGGTTACAAATCCTACACATCTTTGGTAGATGTCATTGTTGTAGAATTCAGGTAAATATACTATATTGCGATACAATTAATAAATGTCCCATTCATGTGTGTTTGAAACTGTGAGACAAAAAAAGAGAAAGAGGCCATTAATGCACTGTTTTCAGTAAAACATATTAAGATAAGAATTAGATTATGTTGTAATACTAATATAATGTTTCCAAAATATATTTTTTTCAGGAAGGGGTCAACCATTAATATAGCAGACCTGGTTTTCAATAGTTCTCAGAGTGTGCCTTCAAATGATGAAATTACCAACACGCTACTAAACGACCCAAATATTGTCAGTGCCCTGAACGTAACTTCTGCTTCTGTTGAAGTTAATGGCACAGGTAAGGCTTACAACAACTGAAATAAAAATATCTTTTAAAATTTTATCCCATATAACTGTATAAGAATGTAAACAATGACAAATATACATTTTCAAAATAGAACTAATGCTATATTAAAGTAAGCTTGTTTAGTACTTACTACATGACATACATATGCAAATACGAAATTTTATTCATCCTTTCCATCTGAAATATGTAACTAATTAAAAAACTTTTTTTCTATCAAGTAACAACTGCTCAACCAACAAATGAGTACTCAACAGCCAAATCAAATCCTGCTGAGACGATAATTAGTACTGCAGAACTAACATCCACTACAACAACAGAGCCCTCCACAACAACAGCTGAAACATCCACCACTACAGCAGAAATAACATCTACTACAACAACTGAGCCCACCACAACAACTCCTCCTGAAACATCAACCACTATAGCAACAGAAACGTCAACAACAACAGAGCCATCGACAACAACAGCGAAACCATCCACCAGTACCGCAGAAGTAACATCAACTACAACAGAGGCCTTCACAACCACCCCTCCTGAATCATCCACCACTGCTATAGCATTAACATCTACAACAACAGCAGAGGCCTCCACAACAACAGCTGAAATATCCACCACTGCTGTAGAAGTAACATCTACTAGAACAACAGAGCCCTCCACAACAACTCTTGCTGAAATATCTACCAGTAATGCTGCAGTAACATCTACAACAACAGCATTTACAACTACAACAGAGCCATCCACAACAATTCCCGTGGAAACATCCACAACTGCTGCAGAAGTAACATCTACTACAACAGAGCCAACATCAACTTTTGCTGAAGCATCCACCAGTACTGCAGTAGTAACATCTGCAACAACTACAACAGAGCCCACCACAACAACTTCTGGAACATCCACCACTGTTGCAGCAATAACATCTACCACGACAACAGAGCCATCAACAACAACAGCTGAAACATCTACCACTGCTGTAGAAGTAACATCTACTACAACAACAGAGCCCTCCACAACAACTCTTGCTGAAACATCCACCAGTAATGCACCAGTAACATCTACAACAACCGCATTTACAACTACAACAGAGCCATCCACAACAATTACTATGGAAACATCCACAACTGCTGCAGAAGTAACATCTACTACAACAGAGCCCACAACAACTCTTGCTGAAGAATCCACCAGTACGGCAGTAGTAACATCTAAAATAACAACATCAACTACAACAACAGAGCCTTCGACAACCACTCCTGCCAAAACATCCACCACTGCTACAGAAGTAACATCTACTACAACAACAGAGCCCTACACAACAACTCCTCCAGAGACATCCACTAGTACTGTAGCAATAACATCCTCAACGAAAACAGAGCCAGCAACAACAACAACAACAGCTGAAACATCCACCACTGCTGCAGAAGAAACATCTACAACAACCGAGCCCTCCACAACAACTCTTAAAGAATCATCCACCACGACAACAGAGCCCTCCACAACAACTATTGAAGAAACATCCTTGATAACTGCAGAAAAAACATCTACTACAACAACAGAGCCCTCAACCACTACAGCAGAAATAATATCTACCACATCAGAGCGCTTAACAACTCTTTATGAAACATCCACAAGTAATGCAGCAGAAACATCTACAACAAGTACAACAGAGCCCTCCACAACTCTTGCTGAAACATCCGCCACTACTGCAGCAGTAACATCTACTTCAAAAACAGAGCCATACACAACAACAATTGCTGAAACATCTACCACTACTGGTGCAGTAACATATACAACATTTACTACAACAACAGAGCCCTCAACAACTCTTGTTGAAACATCCACTACTGCAGCAGAAAGGTCTACTACAACAAGAGAGTTATCCACAACGACTCTTGAAGAAACAAACACAACTGAATACTCAACATCCACCGCTACTGCAGCAACATCCACAACAACAGAGCCCTTCACAACAACTCTTGATGAAATGTCTACTACTACCATAACAGTAACATCTACTACAGCAACAGAATCCTCTACAACAACTCCAGTTGAAACATCAACCAGTACTAAAGCAGTAACATATTCTATGACAACAGAGCCCTCCACAAGAACCCTTGAGGAAACATCCACCACTAATGCAGAAGTAAAGTCAACAACAAACTTTGAAGAAACATCAACTATTACAGTAGATTTGACATCTACCACTGTAACAGAGCCCTCAACAACAACTTACACTGAAATATCCACCACAACCACAGCAGTAACATCTACTACAATAGAGTCCTCAACAACTCCTGCTGAAACAGCCACCACTACTGCAGCAGTAACATCCACAACAACAGAGACAACATCTCTCTCTACTACTGCAAATACAGTATCTGAAAATGTAGTGGTAACAACACTGTTTTTCACCTCCCAAGACACATTTACAGATGACTTATATGATAAGAGTTCTCCCGCTTTCAAGAAAAGGGCATCATTTGTGCAAGGACTTGTGAGTAAAGACATAAATTATCTTTTCACTATAGTGTATTTGTTTTTAGTGTATAGTTTTCTGTTGTGTACAGTGAATTCTGCTGAATGAAAGTCATTGGGATGTTTTAAAGGCCTTTACATATGAACAACAAACGCATGTGGCTTAGTTGTAATAATTTGTATTGGTTACAGTTTGTCAACATTTTCAAACGGTTTGATGCCTTCCTACAAGCCATTGTCAAGAGATTCAGGTGAATACACTATATTTCAATGTGGCTTATTTTATTCACACAGCTGATAAATATTTTGTGAAACAAATTTGTAATTAATGGATTATTGGACAGGTTGCAATATTGAGAAATTGTTCTTAATATTTCATAACACTAATATGATATTTCTGAACTATATTTTTCAGCAAAGGATCAGTCAAGACTGAAGTTGATCTGCTTTTCAACAGTACAAATGTTGTGCCATCAAATAATGAAATTGGCAATGCAATATTGAACAACGTACAATTTCTAAATGACCTAAACGCAACTGCTAATTCAGTTGACATTAATGGAACACGTAAGTCTTTTATTTCAATGTGAACAAAATTACATGTCTTACAGGGAAACCAGTATGAAGGAAAAAACTGACGAATAAAACCTTGTTTCACAGTAATGATTATTTGAAATGAGTATTTGAGAAAATGTAAAATCATTGTTTACATTTTTGGTCAAAAACAGCACAAACTCAAAACAACTCAATATTTATTTATTTATTTTTTCTCTTAGAAATATCATCAATTACTGAACCAACAACTGAATACTCAACACCCACAACAACACCTGCTCAAACATCCACCACTACTGCAGCAGAAACATCTACAACAGAGGCCTCCACAACAGAGGCCTCCACAACAGAGGCTTCCACAACAACTCCTGTGGAAACGTCTACTACTACCACAGCAGTAACATCTACTACAGAAACAGAATCCTCCACTGCTCCTCTTGTGGAAACGTCTACTACAACCACAGTAATAACATCTACTATAGAAACAGACCCCTCCACAACAACTCCTGTTGAAACATCAACCACTACTGAATCAATAACATCTACTATGACAACAGAGTCTTCCACAGCAACTCTTAAAGAAACAGTCACAACTGAATACTCAACACTCACAACAACACCTGCTCAGACATCCACCTCTACTGTAGCAGAAACATCTACAACAACAGAGCCCTCCACAACAGAGTCCCCCACAACAACTCCTGTGGAAACGTCTACTACTACCATAGCAGTAACATCTACTACAGCAACAGAATTCTCCACAACTACTCCTGCTGATACATCCACCACTACTTCAGCTGTAACATCTACTACACCAACAGAGTCCTCTACAACAACTCTAGGAGAAACATCCACAACTGAATACTCAACACCCACAACAATGCCTGCTCAAACATCCACTACTACTGCAGCAGAACCATCTACAACAACAGAGCCCTCCACAACAACTACTGTAGAAATGTCTACTACTAACATAGCAGTAACATCTACTACACAAACAGAGTCCTCCACGACTACTCTTGAAGATACATCTACTACTACAATAGAATTAACATCTACTACTATAACAGAGCCCTCAACAACCACTCCTGCTGAAATATCCACTGCTACTGTTGCAGAAACATCTACAACAGCAACAACAGAATCCTCCACAACAACTGCTGCTGAAACATCCACCAGTACTTCAGCTGTAATGTCTACTACAACCACAGAGCCCTCAACAACTGTTGTTGAAACATCTACCACTACTGCAGCAGAAACATCTACTACAACCAGAGAGTCAGCCACAACAACTATTGAAGAAACATTCACAACAACAGAGCCCTCCACAACAACTCCTGTGGAAACATCCACTACTACCATAGAAGTAACATCTACTACACCAACAGAGTCCTCCACAACAACTCTTGGAGAAACATCCACTACTACAGTAGAATTAACATCTACTACTATAACAGAGCTCTCAACAACAACTCCTGCTGCAACATCCACAACTTCAGTTGTAACATCTACAATGCCAGAGTCCTCCACAACAACTCTTGAAGAAACATCCACTACTACAGTAGAGTTAACATCTACAACAACAGAGCCCTCCACAACAACTCCTGTGGAAACGTCTACTACTACTATAGCAGTCAAATCCACTACAGCAGCAGAATCCTCCACGACAACTCTTGAAGAAACATCCACAACAGAACAGTCAACACTCACAACAACTCCTGCTGAAATATCCACCACTAATCCAGCAGTAACATCTACAACAACAACAGAGCCCTCCACGACTACTCCTGAAGAAACGTCTACAACTACAATAAAAGTAACATCTACTACACCAACAGAGCCCTCAACAACCATTTCTGCAGAAACACCCACCACTTCAGTTGTAACATCTACTACATCGGAGTCCTCGACAACAACTCTTGAAGAAACACCCACAACTACAGTAGAGTTAACATCTACTATTATAACAGAGCCCTCCACATCAACTCCTATGGAAACGTCTACTACTACCACTGCAGTAACATCTACAACAACAACAGAATCCTCCACAACAACTCCAGTTGAAACATCCACCACTGAATACTCAACACCCACAACACATGCTCAGACATCCACCACTACTGAAGCCGTAGCATCTACTACAGCAACAGACTCCTCCACAACAAGTTTTGAAGAAACAGCCACTTCTACAGTAGAACTAACATCTACTACTATAACAGAGCCATCAACAACAACTCTAGCTGAAATATCTACCACTACTGCAGCTGTAACTTCTACAACAACAACAACAACAACAACAACAGAGCCCTCCACAACAACTCTTGATGAAATGTCTACTACTACCATAACAGTAACATCTACTACAGCAACAGAATCCTCTACAACAACTCCAGTTGAAACATCAACCAGTACTAAAGCAGTAACATCTTCTATGACAACAGAGCCCTCCACAAGAACCCTTGAGGAAACATCCACCACTAATGCAGAAGTAAAGTCAACAACAAACTTTGAAGAAACATCAACTATTACAGTAGATTTGACATCTACCACTGTAACAGAGCCCTCAACAACAACTTACACTGAAATATCCACCACAACCACAGCAGTAACATCTACTACAATAGAGTCCTCAACAACTCCTGCTGAAACAGCCACCACTACTGCAGCAGTAACATCCACAACAACAGAGACAACATCTCTCTCTACTACTGCAAATGCAGTATCTGAAAATGTAGTGGTAACAACACTGTTTTTCACCTCCCAAGACACATTTACAGATGACTTATATGATAAGAGTTCTCCCGCTTTCAAGAAAAGGGCATCATTTGTGCAAGGACTTGTGAGTAAAGACATAAATTATCTTTTCACTATAGTGTATTTGTTTTTAGTGTATAGTTTTCTGTTGTGTACAGTGAATTCTGCTGAATGAAAGTCATTGTGCTGTTTTAAAGGCCTTTACATATGAACGACAAACGCATGTGGCTTAATTGTAATAATTTGTATTGGTTACAGTTTGTCAACATTTTCAAACGGTTTGATGCCTTCCTACAAGCCATTGTCAAGAGATTCAGGTGAATACACTATATTTCAATGTGGCTTATTTTATTTACACTGCTTATAAATATTTTCTGAAACAACATAAAATCTTGTGATTAATGGATTATTGGACAGGTTGCAATATTGAGAAAGTGTTCTGAATATTTCATAACACTAATATGATATTTCTGAACTATTTTTTTCAGCAAAGGATCAGTCAAGACTGAAGTTGATCTGCTTTTCAACAGTACAAATGTTGTGCCATCAAATAATGAAATTGGCAATGCAATATTGAACAACACACAATTTCTAAATGACCTAAACGCAACTGCTAATTCAGTTGACATTAATGGAACACGTAAGTCTTTTATTTCAATGTGATCAAAATTACATGTCTTACAGGGAAACCAGTATGAAGGAAAAAACAGACAAATAAAACCTTGTTTCACAGTAATGATTATTTGAAATGAGTATTTGAGAAAATCATTCTTTACATTTTTGGTCAAAAACAGCATAAACTCAAAACAAGTCAATATTTTTTTTTCTCTATTAGAAATATCATCCATTACTGAACCAACAACTGAATATTCAACACCCACAACAACACCTGCTCAAACATCCACCACTACTGCAGCAGAAACATCTACAACAACAGAGTCCTCCACAACAGAATCCTCCACTGCTCCTCCTGTGGAAACGTCTACTACAACCATAGTAGTAACATCTACTATAGAAACAGACTCCTCCACAACAACTCCTGTTGAAACATCAACCACTACTGAATCAATAACATCTACTATGACAACAGAGTCTTCCACAGCAACTCTTGAAGAAACAGTCACAACTGAATACTCAACACTCACAACACCTGCTCAGACATCCACCTCTACTGTAGCAGAAACATCTACAACAACAGAGCCCACAACAACTCCTGTGGAAACGTCTACTACTACCATAGCAGTAACATCTACTACAGCAACAGAGTCCTCCACAACTACTCCTGCTGATACATCCACCACTACTTCAGCTGTAACATCTACTACACCAACAGAGTCCTCTACAACAACTCTGGAAGAAACATCAACAACTGAATACTCAACACTCACAACAATGCCTGCTCAAACATCCACTACTACTGCAGCAGAACCATCTACAACAACAGAGCCCTCCACAACAACTACTGTAGAAATGTCTACTACTAACCTAGCAGTAACATCTACTACGCAAACAGAGTCCTCCACGACAACTCTTGAAGATACAGCTACTACTACAACAGAATTAACATCTACTACTATAACAGAGCCCTCAACAACCACTCCTGCTGAAATATCCACTGCTACTGTTGCAGAAACATCTACAACAACAACAACAACAGAATCCTACACAACAACTGCTGCTGAAACATCCACCAGTACTTCAGCTGTAATGTCTACTACAACCACAGAGCCCTCAACAACTGTTGTTGAAACATCTACCACTACTGCAGCAGAAACATCTACTACAACCAGAGAGTCAGCCACAACAACTATTGAAGAAACATTCACAACAACAGAGCCCTCCACAACAACTCCTGTGGAAACGTCCACTACTACCATAGCAGTAACATCTACTACACCAACAGAGTCCTCCACAACTACTCCTGAAGAAACGTCTTCCACTACCATAGAAGTAACATCTACTACACTAACAGAGTCCTCCACAACAACTCTTGGAGAAACATCCACTACTAAAGTAGAGTTAACATCTACTACTATAACAGAGCTCTCAACAACAACTCCTGCTGCAACATCCACAACTTCAGTTGTAACATCTACAATGCCAGAGTCCTCCAAAACAACTCTTGAAGAAACATCCACTACTACAGTAGAGTTAACATCTACAACAACAGAGCCCTCCACAACAACTCCTGTGGAAACGTCTACTACTACAATAGCAGTCACATCTACTACAGCAGCAGAATCCTCCACAACAACTCTTGAAGAAACATCCACAACTGAACAGTCAACACCCACAACAACTCCTGCTGAAATATCCACCACTAATGCAGCAGAAACATCTACAACAACAGAGCCCTCCACAACAACTCCTGAAGAAACTTCTACTACTACAATAAAAGTAACATCTACTACACCAACAGAGCCCTCAACAACCACTTCTGCTGAAACATCCACCACTTCAGTTGTAACATCTACTACATCAGAGTCCTCGACAACAACTCTTGAAGAAACATCCACTACTACAGTAGAGTTAACATCTACTATTATAACAGAGCCCTCCACATCAACTCCTATGGAAACGTCTACTACTACCACTGCAGTAACATCTACAACAACAACAGAATCCTCCACAACAACTCCAGTTGAAACATCCACCACTGAATACTCAACACCCGCAACACCTGCTCAGACATCCACCACTACTGAAGCCGTTGCATCTACTACAGCAACAGACTCCTCCACAACAAGTTTTGAAGAAACAGCCACTTCTACAGTAGAATTAACATCTACTACTATAACAGAGCCATCAACAACAACTCTAGCTGAAATATCTACCACTACTGCAGCTGTAACTTCTACAACAACAACAACAGAGCCCTCCACAACAACTCTTGATGACACATCCACCACTACTGCAGAAGTAACATCTATTATAACAACAGAGCCCTCAACGATTCCTGTTGAGAAATCCACCAGTACAGCAGAAATAACATACACTACTACAGCAGAGCCCTCAACAACAACATTTGAAGACACATCCACCACTACTGAAACAGTAACATCTATTTCAACAACAGAGACACCCACAACTACTCTTGAAGAAACATCCACCATTACTGCAACAGTAACATCTACTGCAACAACAGAGTTCACCACAACTACTTCTGCTGAAACATCCTCCACATCTGCAGCAGTAACATCTACAACAACAAAGACAACATCTCTCTCTACTACTGCAAATGCAGTATCTGGAAACGTAGTAGTAATAACACTGTTTTTCAAATCCCAAGACACATTTATAGATGACTTCAATGATAACAGTTCTCCCGCTTTCAAGAAAAGGGCATCATTTGTTGAGCAACTTGTGAGTAAAGACAAAAATTCTCCATTCACTTTTGCGTATTTGTTTTTAGAGTATAGTGTATATAGCGTTCTGTTGTATATAATGTAATCAAGTGAATAAAAGTCATTGTGCTTTTTTTTAAAGACCTTACGTATGAACAAAATATGTATTTGGCCTAACTGTAATAATTTGTATTGGTTACAGTTTCATGAGCTTTTGAAAGGGTGGTTTAAGTCTTTCCTAGGAGCCATCGTCAAGAAATTCAGGTAAATACACTATATGTATTAATTTAACGCTGCTTATTTCATATAGAATGTGTATGGAAAATTAAATTAAACTACTTTAAATATTTTTAATAATGTTTTAATGATCAGGTTGTGATATTGAGAATTTAAATATTTCATAACACTAATATGATTTTAACCGATATTTTTCAGCAAAGGATCAGTCAACACTGAAGTTGGTCTTCTTTTTAACAGTACAGATGTTGTACCATCAAATAATGAAATTGGCAATGCAATATTGAACAACGCACAATTTCTAAATGACCTAAACGCAACTGCTAATTCAGTTGACATTAATGGAACACGTAAGTCTTTTATTTCAATGTGATCAAAATTACATGTCTTACAGGGAAACCAGTATAAAGGAATAAATTGACAAATAAAAACTTGTTTCACAGTAATGATTATTTGAAATGAGTATTTGAGAAAATGTAAAATCATTGTTTACATTTTTGGTCAAAAACAGCATAAGCTCAAAACAACTCAATATTTATTTACTTATTTTGTCTATTAGAAATATCATCAATTACTGAACCAACAACGGAATACTCAACACCCACAACAACACCTGCTCAAACATCCACCCTTACTGCAGCAGAAACATCTACAACAACAGAGTCCTCCACAACAGAGGCCTCCACTGCTCCTCCTGTGGAAACGTCTACTACTACCATAGTAGTAACATCTACTATAGAAACAGACTCCTCCACAACAACTCCTGTTGAAACATCCACCACTACTGAATCAATAACATCTACTATGACAACAGAGTCTTCCACAGCAACTCTTGAAGAAACAGTCACAACTGAATACTCAACACTCACAACAACACCTGCTCAGACGTCCACCTCTACTGTAGCAGAAACATCTACAACAACAGAGCCCTCCACAACAGAGTCCTCCACAACATCTCCTGTGGAAACATCTACTACTACCATAGCAGTAACATCTACTACAGAAACAGAATCCTCCACAACTACTCCTGCTGATATATCCACCACTACTTCAGCTGTAACATCTACTACACAAACAGAGTCCTCTACAACAACTCTAGGAGAAACATCCATAACTGAATACTCAACACCCACAACAACGCCTCAAACATCCACTACTACTGCAGCAGAAATATCTACAACAACAGAGCCCTCCACAACAACTACTGTAGAAATGTCTACTACTAACATAGCAGTAACATCTACTACACAAACAGAGTCCTCCACGACAACTCTTGAAGATACATCTACTACTACAATAGAATTAACATCTACTACTATAACAGAGCCCTCAACAACCACTCCTGCTGAAATATCCACTGCTACTGTTGCAGAAACATCTACAACAGCAACAACAGAATCCTCCACAACAACTGCTGCTGAAACATCCACCAGTACTTCAGCTGTAATGTCTACTACAACCACAGAGCCCTCAACAACTGTAATTGAAACATCTACCACTACTGCAGCAGAAACATCTTCTACAACCGGAGAGTCAGCCACAACAACTATTGAAGAAACATCCACAACAACAGAGCCCTCCACAACAACTCCTGTGGAAACATCCACTACTACCATAGCAGTAACATCTACTACACCAACAGAGTCCTCCACAACAACTGTTGAAGAATCATCCACAGCTGAATACTCAACAACACCTGCTCAAACACCCACCACTACAGCAGCAGAAACATCTACAACAACAGAACCCTTCACAACAACTTCTGTAGAAACATCTACTACTACCTTAGCAGTAAAGTCTACTACAGCAATAGAATCCTCCACAACAATTTTTGAGG